CACACACACACACACACACACACACACACACACACACACACTCCTGTGTTCTACATCCCCAGCCACTTGGGGATCACTTGGCCTTACTTCAGAAGGTAGTGGATATAAGGGGACTGTCTGGGAAGAGCTTCTGAGCCATCAGGGCCCACCACCCTGTTCTTCATGATAAGAAGGGCCCTCAGCAATTTGCCAGCCCTCTCAGTACAGCTCCAAAGAGCCCAGGGAGAGAGGCAGAGGCCTGAGTCCTGCTTTAGAAGCAGTGGGGTATCGAGGTGGAATGGGGGCACATGGTGACTGGCTGTGGTGCTCTGTGTGCAGTGAGAGCCCTATGGACACACGTTGTCACACTGCACTTAGTTCAGAATAGCTTCTTGTCATTTGGCCGCTTTGAACAGCAGAAAGTGTCTGAGTTCTGGAGCCTGACACATTTGAGTGTGAGTCTCCACAACTCACCAGCTGTGTGAGCTTGAGCACACCACTCTTACTGTCTGGAACCCTCAGGACTGAGAGAGGCCCGGGCAACTGTGGGGTCTTTCAAAACACTTCACATATTTAAAAGTTCATGTTATGGTAGACTTTGAATGTTTACGTTTAACCAAGTGATATGTGAATGAAAACAATAAAATGCAATGTAAGTGTTGCTATTCCCATGCTTACAAGATTTATTGACACCTCTTCATTCTAAGTGCACTGCAAAGGATGGTGCACTAACCGCAAGCTGCTGGTCTTTCATTCCTGATAGGGATCCTCTGTGTCTATAGGCAAGCTCATTTGGAAACAATGAATACAAAGTTGATTTAAGGCCTTTTATTCATGTAAGGGCGGGTCAGATGGCCCTGGAGCTTCCGTTCTCTGCTTTGTCCCTCATAGAGAGCCACTACTCCCGTCTACATTGGATATTTATGAGGATTCATTGCAACAGTGCTATAAAAAACACTTGTTATAAAAGAAAAGAGAGCTGCTTTGGACTTTGCTAAACTTCTATTCATTAAAGACACTTTAAAGAAAACAAAAAAATAAGTCACATGCTGAGAGGGGATATTTACAATGCATATAACCAATATTGGATTAATATCGAGATTATATGAAAGTTCAAACTATTTAATAGAAAAGTGGGCAAAAGACTTTCACAGAAGAGGCAACACATATGGCCAATAATTATGTGAAGAGATATTCAAAATCATTAGTGATCCAGGAAATACAAATCGAGACCATAAAGATACATCATTTTACACCAATTAGACTGGCACAAAATGAGAGGTAGTGAAGAGGACGGCATAACAGGTGGTTAATTGCTGGTGGGAGTGTACTCAGTACAGCCACTTTAGAAACAAGTTTGTCATTCTCTTATTAAATGGAATATTTGCATACCCTATGACCCAGCAATTCTACTCCTATGTGTACACCCAAAATTAACTTCTGCATTGCACTCCAGAGAAGAGAAAGGACATGGCAGCATTGCTTACAGAGGCAAAACCCTGGAAACAATCCAGGTGAGTGTTAACAAGGTAAAAAATATATAACCTACAATGAAATGAATCCACTCCAGCTTCATGTAATAGTATGGATGAACCTGAGCAGAATAATATTGAGGGGAAAAAAAAGTATTAAAGGCAATTTCATATGGGTCAACTAATAGAACATAACTTACAACATAATACCCTTTTAAAAGCATATAAAACTCATGAATACACACATCCAAAGTAATGATAAAATACATGATTCACGATAGTGGTTACTGCAGAGGGGAGGGGAGCCTCTTCAAGGAAAGAAGCCTCTTCGAGGATGAAAGGCAGGTTCTGTGTTAGCTTTGGAGTCAAGGTTGTTTTTTCCTTTTTCTTTTTTCTTTTTTTTTTGTTTCGTTTCTCATAATAAATAATAAATGAGTTAATTAAAAAAGAGGGCCACTCCTGGACAAAAGGATGGGTGCCCTGAACCCAGGGTTGTGATGAATCCTGTTCTATGCACCTACATGCTCTTTCAAATAGATAAGTCCAGGCCCAGCCCAGCAGTTTGGCCCCACACGCCAGCTCCTTCTCTGCCTGCAGGCTCCCATGTGTCTGCCTGTTCTTGCCCCTGGTTTATCTCCAGAAACCAGACACCACTAGTAAAGCCCCCTGAAGGTGATAAATCTGGAGATGGGTCATCCAGAAAACATCTCTTCGACACCCTACTTCCCCTAGTCCATTGCTGGTGCATTAGAAATCATTCACCCTGGTGATAGTTAGGGTCTTACTCATGAATAATACAATGTAAAAATAATCAGTAGTGCAAGATGCAAATAAAGATCCCTTATAAATGCCTATAGCTTCATGGTACTGAATCTAACCCCTTTTCAGTATGTGGGATATGTCACTTTTATGAAACCTTCTTTTTATAAAATTCAAGCTGTCTTTGGGGTCACAAATCTTTCTTTTTCATTTGGATCCTTAGGAAAAAAAACTGACTTCCAGCACTAGACAAATGTTAAGGGTTTTATAACTAGTCTCATAAAAGGGACTTTATAGTACTGTCAGAAAGTGTAGTGCGCTGCAATTTTTACTGGAAGGAGAGCTCAGATTCACCCTCAGATCCTCCTTCATGTGGCTGTTCTGGTGATGACTGCACCTACATGCTCGTCAGAAACTCTTCCTGTCCATGGTCCCTATGGAGCTGACACCCCCCCACCCCCACCCACACGCACACCCAGGCTAAACCATGTGAATTCCCCGAGCCACAGCAGACCAGGCTGGGGTGCTCGTGTCCTGAGTGAGGTCCATGTTCTGAACCTAGAAACTGTAAAAGTCCAGCATGTTGGGGAATATGGGCCTGATCCTGATATTCAGGGAAGAGCAGCTTCTCTAAACCCCAAACAGAATGTGCTTCCATGCAGTGTAGGCAGCCTGACAAAGGTCGAGAAGAGGACACCCTCAAAGTATGTCGCAGGAAGCTTCTCTAGTAAGGGGAAGCCAACCCCACTTCTAATTTCCAACTCCTCTTTGGTGACCTCTCTCTTTCTGGAGAGTGCTTGGTAGTGGAGCAATGTCTAATTGCTATTGAAGTCGAGGAGCTTGGTGTCGAGGGGAACCTCAGAGACTGCTATTGCTTTTTCCTTGGGAGTGCTGCAGCTTTTAATGACTTGAAACCAATTTCAGTGGGAAATTGCTTAGCAAGGGGTGATCACTGTTCCACAGCATCAGAGCTGGGGGAAGGAATAATGTCATAGTTGCCCCACTACTGTGACCCACTCCTTCCTGCCAGCGGCCACTCCGACAAGGAGAGGGAAGCCCTTCCTGGGCTCTGGTGAAGAGGGCAGAAAGGAATTTGGAAGGGGACGGAAGTTTTATTTATTTATTAAGAGCCTACCACACAGTTTTTACCACAAACTTCCCTGGCACCCAGTAAGTCTCAATAAATACTGGATTGTCCCTGAATGAGTCATCTGTTTGCTGTCTGACTAAGCAGAGACACATAAATCGAGAGGTAGTTGGTTCTATCAGTTAGTTGTTTACCCTCCATAGCTTCCGTGATGGCAGGGACTAGGGAAATAGCTCTGCGGCCCTTTTCAGGCTTATCTGTAGCCTTCTAGCCTTCTCTTAGGGAAGAGACCCTTCTGGTCCTCAGATAGAAGAGAGAGTCTGCCTTCAGTCCCCTCAGCCACCTGCACCTGTCAGACTTGAGAAAAGACTAAACCAAGGTCTGACAAAGTATGGTCCAGGGGCTAAGTCTGGCCCACCACCTGTTTTTGTCAATAAATTTTTATTGGCACACAGCCACACCCATTCATTTACATACTGCCCATGGCTGCTTTCCTGCTACTTCAGCAGACTTGAACAGTTGTGACAGAGACCATATGGTCCCCAAAGTTTAAAATATTTATTTCCTGGCCCTTTACAAAAA